ATAGAATAGTTCATAAGTGGAAAAAGTAATAAATACAGCAGAAAAAAGAAATTCATGTTTTTTTGGACTGGCGTATTTTCGATATGCTTTAAAACAAGCAACGTTCGTCGCTTCGATTGAATCATTTATTCTTTTGTAATCACACCCTCACACCCACACCCACACCCTCACACACCCTCGTTTTGTTCGAAACCATTATTGGTTTGGCAGATCATCGTCAGGTTATGTACGTATGCTACGAAGCCATGGATAGTTCCGTAAGTCGTATAATGGTTCGATATAATTTCTACGAAACCAATAAGAGTTTCGCTACCTGTCTCAAGGTTCAGTATAAACAGTACAAAACCTTTAATAGTTTCGTGACTTTTCTAAAGGTTTTGCAGATGCATTCCGAAACCTCTAATAGTTTTGAAAGGCGGATAAAGGTTTTGAATTGTTTGTACGAAACCATCGATAGTTTCGGACTACATTTCAGAGTATCGCATACCGCATACGAAACCACGAATAGTTTTGGAAATGACTTAATGGTTTTGTATGTCTTCCGCGGAACCATGATGAGTTTCGCAAGTGCAGCAAAGGTTCCGTACATATTATACGAAACTATCAATGGTTTCGTACATCATGTGAAGGTTTCGTGAATGTCGTACAGAACTGTTTGTAGCTGCGGCAAAGATATAATAGTTTAGTATATCTTGTACGAAACTATTAAAAGTTTCGTCAATTGTCCAAAGGTTCAGGACATATCCTACAGAACCATTTTGGGCTACGTAGGATACCAAAGAGTTCCGAGTAGCCGATACGAAACGTCGGATAGTTTCGTAAGTCCAATAATAGTTCTGCGTACGTTTTACGAAGCCATTGTGAGTTCCGTTAAACATCAAAAGGTTCTGTAGGCACTGTACGAAACTATTCGTAGTTTTGTAAACAGTTTAATGGTTCAGCATACGTTTACGTAACCATAGCCAGTTCGATACAATATGTACGAAACTATCCGAGCAGTTACGAAACTAAAAAGGGTTTTGTAGAGCTTATACGGAACTTTGACGGTATCTGCGAAACTGTTAGTAGTTTGGTATCAAAGGTACGAATCCATTAAAGTTTAGAACGAGATGTACAGAACTTCGAGAAGGTTTCGTAGTAAAATTCCGAAACCATCTTTAACTTTCGGAACTTAAAAAGGTTCTGAATTGAACTGCGAAACCATTTTGAGGCCACTGAACTTAAAATAGTTTCGTAAAGTAATACGGAAACTTTTAAGTTCGGCATGGCACCAATTTTTTTTACAGTGTTCTATTCATTAGTCAGACAAAAACAATCATTTTCTCAGTGGAAAGAAAAGAACGAGAAAAAAAAAAGAAATTCTCTCCTTGACGATGTATAAATACGCATGCTTTTCCATGAAAGAAATCATTCAGTTATCTGGATCACATTCTAATCCATTCTCTGTTTCCATTTTAGGTCATCACTTCTGATCGACAATATCCAATCCAATCCAATTCAATCAACCCTTCAATAACAATAGAAAAAACATGTAGGTATTCATTTCATTATTTTTTCTTTTTCTTTTCTTCTGAACATGACTTAGGACAGAGAGAGAGATGAGTAGGGATATAGGTGAGAATAGAGTCTTATCAGGGCTTTCCGGATTGTGCCTATGAACACTGGCCAGGACTCATCTTGGTGTCCGTGGCACACGTATAGGCCTTTGTACAGATTCGTTCACGTACGTACGTATAACGGTTCTGTATGCCTAGACGCGCATGGGTGTAAATGTACAGATTTATTGGGAAAGAAAAGAAACATTTGGGGTGACATTGTCAATGGAGTCTATGGTTCGAGAGAAAAGCGTTGAACACGGTTATTCCAACAATCGACGACATAGAGATGACCATGTCGATCGAAAGACAAACCAATGGGGTTGCTGAACTGATTTGTTCCTGCTCCTTCACCATTTCCACCGACAATGACAGTGCCTTGTGGTGCTCCTGGAGTCCAACGCATCACTTGATCATTCCTCCCCTCTGCCACATAGAGAGTACCCGAGGAATCGACGAAGAGTCCACCAGGATACGACAATTGTGTCAGAGCATTCCCTGCGCCTCGTCCTCCAGCAACGACAATGCCTTCTTTTGCACCTTTCTTCCATTTCATAACACGATGATTGTTCTGGTCTGAGACGTAGAGATTCTGTTCTCGATCAACAAAGAGATATCTCGGCCAGTTGAGTTGATTGAGACCAGCACCTTGGCCATTTCCTCCAGCGACGAGAGTGCCATTCTTGTCATCACCTAGTCGATATCGTCGTACTTCCTGCCTTCCGTAGTCAGAGACATAGAGATATCTCTGATCATCCAGAGCTAATCCCCGACAATGGATGTTGTTGATCAGTATTTCTCCTTGTGTTGTTCCACTATGACGAGACCATCGTACAACTCGTCGATTCTCTTCATCAGCAATAATGAGACTATCTGTCTCTTTGTCGATCAAGACATCCATTGGCCTATTCAATTGATGCAATCCATTTCCTTCACCTTTTCCACCAGCAACGACTAGTCCATTCGTCTCCCCTGTCTTCCATTGGATGATACGATGATTCTCGTAGTCAGCAACAATCACTGTTTGATCCTCATCCACACAGAGACCCTGGGGGCGGTTGAGTTGATTGGTGGCATTGCCCTTCCCATTCCCTCCCGCAACCGTCATTCCGTTCTGGCTCCATCGGGCATTGGATGGAATCTCAGGAATACGAACTAGAAGGAAACGAAGGAAAAGAAATAGAAAAATCTTCATTCATTTTCAGCGTGGTGACTGTGGACAAACGAGGAGAGAGAGAGAGAATTCTACATCGAATTGATGATGCATCATGGAAGACAAATCAAAGAAAAGTCATTCGTTTCGGAAGTGTTCGAAAGAAAGATTTCAATCGATAAGTTGTATAGAGAAGAAAACAAAAATCTTTCGTCTCATTCGCATTCATTCAGATAATCATGTTGTTTTAGTTAGTTTCTAAACTGTTCGACACGCTTTGTTTTTCAATGTGGTAAAGTTAGAAAACATATTCTAGAGGTTGAAGATGCGTCAACAAGATCTAGAATCTACTCAAAATGAAAACATCTTCTCAAGATCATGCACCGTTTGACTCTCAGTGGGAAATATACTTCCCAGCTATCGAACATTTACAATCCTTAATAAATATAGCAACGTTTGATCATTTGAACAAGTGTTCAAATATGAGCGAATATTTATGCTAACTTGAACAGACGTTTGTTGAGGAGGAAAAAATTTCTTTCAACATCGAGTAGAAGATAGAAATACTGGAAAAGAGAAAACTATCGTTATTTTTTATTTATTATCTAGTGACTAAGGTTAGACATCAAGTTTCTTTCATGAGATCATTGACAATTTTTGAATGCACTTCCTTTGTTTTATCTGTTTTTACTTCGGCCTATCGCATCTTTTCTTTTCTTACCGAAAAACAACAGTCTCATATATCTCATTTCTATTATTCTTCCCTAAGATGTGTGATGTTTTGTTTACAATGGAATAAGAATTTTTTTGTCTTCACTCTGGATGAAATATTTGAAAAAGCAAATCTGAATGTATTCAGACAGAGTTGGCTTAATAAGGATTTCATCATCAGTTGTCTTAGAAGATCGAAAAGATTTGTATCGAACGAATCAGTTATTGAGAGAGTAGTCAAATGGTTAAGTTCTGTTTTAAACTCGAAAAGTGATGAAATCCAACTCCTCGACGGTTTTCTAGAATCATTTCTTTTCTCTTGTTAGTTCTCTCTAGTTTTTAGTAGTTTCGTTCTTTTTTGATAGTTTTCCTTTATTGGTGTTTGTTTCTCTTTTCTGTCTTTTATTTTTTGTCTAAATCTATGTACTGTTAGGATCTTCCGATTACAGTTTTCCGCATAATAAAAAAAGAAAGAAACTTTTCAAATTGCTTGAAGTTATTTGGATCATCCATGTATGTAGATCAAGAAGTTAGTCAATGACGTAAGGGATGGCAGTGAAGAAACACTTTTTCTTGTTCGATAAGAATAGTTCAGTAGAATAAGTATAAGAGAGATGTGCATTAGTTGAAATAGAATACTATCCGATTGATCCGAAACAAAGAGCAATGAATAAGAATATCATTCAATTTTCCGAAGAGATGAGTAGCAAAAATCATCCATTTCTCACGAGAAAATTATTCTCATTCTAATATTTGCCACAGTAGAATAACAGTCCTCTCCTGGTCTGACTTTCACAGGTATCGTTGTAGTGGGAATAAAAAAGAATCATAACTTTTCCCTCATACGAAAGAAGTTATTCGAAGTCACTTTTGATCTGCTTACTGTAGTACAAAGAGAGAACACCAAAAGAAAGAGAATTTGTACTGATTCTTATATTTGTCTTTAGGGTGTGGGTAGGTGTGGGTGTGGGGTGGGTGAGGGTGTGGGTGTGGGTGAGGGTATAAGTGATATACTTTTCTTCATCTACACTCACACCCACACCCACACCCACACCCTCAAGATGGTTCATGGCATACATGACTCACACCCTCACCCTCACCCTCGGGCGAGTACCAACAGAATTATGTCATCATACAATGTACACATACGTACTGATACTGAATGTAATCGCTATGTGGTTAAGACTGACCGCGTAGCTCAGATGGTAGAGCAGCCGACATGTTATCGGAAGGTCGTGGGTTCGGATCCCACTCCAGTCATTTCTTTTCAGCTAGTCATTCGTGCTAGTTGAGGCATATGTGTGGATTATCTTACGTATGTGTACCTAGTATGGTTCATGACATACATGACTCACACCCTCACCCTCACCCTCAAGACTACCTTCTGGAACAGCTGATCAGTCTCTAAAGTTACTTGTACATATTTTCACATCTGTCCCTGTTCATAATTGTTGAAAAAAGTAACATTTTTAAATTTTATAGAAAACCTGGTCATTTGATGGTGATCCCGTCATAACCGCTTCACCACCCAGAATATCCATAGAAAGCATCCAATCCATTCATTAGATAGAGCATAAAAAACTGTATTTAGAGCACTACTTTTGAAAATAAAAACACCATCACTGGTGGCTGGAAATGAATTATACCGTATTTTCGTGATGGAATCACCATCATCAGTGTTCCCTGTTTACAAATTTTGATAACTCCACAAAGAAACAATGAACTAAACATCTCTTTTCATAAACATACACTGTGTTGGTCGTACTACTACTTCATATAAAAAATTTCGAAAAAGTGCATCTATTGGCAAAAAAAAATTTCAAAGCTATAATCTGTCATAATTTGGTATATTTCTGACTTCTGAGACTTGTACTGTTTATATGATAAATTTTTACACGATTATACAGACCGATGAGGGAAAAAAATATATTTCTGAGTGATTTCGACTTTGCTCTACACGATGGTGATATTAGTTTTGCCTAACAGCGTTGGTCAACTTCGCCAACCAAGGTACGCAGTTACGTGGACAGGCGGATTAGCCAAAAGTCTTGGTCGTTCTCAGAAAAATTGTTCGTTCTCCTTTATAGTTAATCGAAATTTGCTCAAAATTGGAGCGATAAGCCCTTATCATACGGCGAATATTAGCCTAAATTTTCAAATATGTAGTCCTTATTATAAGGGAGATATATAAAAATACGCTGATGAAAAAAAAAATTTTTTTCAAAAAAGCGAAATAGAACATGTTAATATTGAAAACAGGAGGAAATCGGTAGTAGAATAAGGAAATATTGACACAGTGTTCACGAATCAAGTCATATTTGATGACTAACTGGATGTCTGTTATATATAGATTTCAGTATGTTTGATTCTGTTTGGATATACAGTTATATATAATTAATGATCATCATTCATTTTCAACGAAATTTTCACTTGACGATCAATTTTAATGTAATTCATGTGAAATTAAAATTTGTTTCCGAAGTTTTTCATATTTTTTCATATTTTCGAGACATTAATTTGTAGTGGGAATGGCTGGATTAGAGATAAACGTCAAAATTAAGCGTAAGAAATCAGGTTTAAAATGATAAATTATTGAAAAAAGTTCGTTGAAAATGAATGATGATCATTAATTATATATAACTGTATATCCAGGCAGAATCAAACATAATGAAATCGGGAAACGGGAACTTCGCAGTAGTGACTTTCGCAGTGCACTTTCGGCAATTACCGAAAGTTGTGTTTTTGTTGAACTTTCATCCAATACCGAACTGTAATTTCGACAATAGCCGATATTCCCGTTTTGTAAATAACGACAATACAATAAAAGCATAGCTTTCATTAGTATTAATTAATTTATTCGCTAATTATTGAACTTTCGGCAATATGTGATTTAACGTTGTCGAAAATCGCAACACCATATTTATCGATTATCAATGGAAGTGGCTTGCAATGCAAACGGCTTGTAGTGCATTTAGCTTGCATTGCAAGCCACCTGCATTGCATGCTGCTTAGAATTTCGGCAACGTTAAATTGTATATTGCCGAAAGTTCAACAATTAGCAAATAAATTAATTAATACTAATTAAAGCTATGCTTTTATTGTATTGTCGTTTTTTACTAGACTGGACTATTAGCTATTGCCGAATTTACAGTTCGGTATTGAGCGAAAGCTACTACTACGAAATTCATGCTACCTCACTTGTGTCGGCTCTATATCTGTAAAGTGGCGACATCTCGTCGTGATATTTTAGATTCAATATATTAACACCATAACTTTTGAAACTAGACATTAAGATTGACCAAAATCCGAAATCTACCTCTGGACAGTATCGGGAAATCTGGTCTATTCTGCAGCAAAATCTCTCTTAACCTCCTGGACCACGACAAATTCTTGCGTTCTGTGCGAAGATATAGAAATATTAGAAAATCACTCTCTTGCGTTCAGCCATGGTTAATCAGCTGTATACACATGATATAGTCTATTATATATGAGCTATCTCCTATATATTTACTGTGTTATCACAGCTGTATATCGATACAACAGAACGCAGGCAAATTTTTTTCGTTCCGCTTGTCTTCAATCTGAAGACAACGGGCCCCAAGAGGTTAAAGAAGGATGAGAAAACTGTCATACTTAAATGGTTCTGTTTTAAATGATGACTACTATCGCATGGTCATCATTCACTTACCTGTTTCTACTTTGTTATCATTTTTAATGGTTATAGTGTTATACGCATTCTTGCGATCTTTGCTGCGCCGTCTTTTAAGGCCTACACAATTTAAACGACTTTGTTTTTCTGATTTGGAACCTTTAAATAAAAATAAA